CCTCGCTTTTCACCTCCAACAGAATTACATGAAGAATACTATAAAAAAATTAACTATTCATCAACTTTAATAACACCTTCACCTTTCAATGCGATCACAAATAAGCGTATTTTCCCAATAACGCAACACCAAAATACTTCCGACAATGTGGCCTATACTAGCGATTGTGATTTACCCATCGAAATATCAGACACACCATACCTAAAAACAAAAAACGGCAAAAGATTCAGGAAATCGCTTAAAAATAAATTACGCAAAGATATTAATAATTACAAAACCTATCTCGAAACTTTATCGAATGAACGCGATAAAATAAGTAATTGTTATGTAGCAGTAGCAACATTGGAACGTATGATCAAAACTAAAAATCCAAGTAATGGATTTCGAGAAGGAGTTTACGAAGTGATGAAAGTTTTAACAATAACAGATCCTGAGGATAATACGAATTTGATAAATCAAATCGTATCAACTATGTTGGAAATTATTACAAAAATTTGGCAAGATAAAAGATTTGGTAGATGTGCGATATGTAAATTTGGGGTAGTTATGGAATCAGCGGTCAAGGACGTCAATAATTTGTGGTTATGTACTAATAAGACATGTATAAGTAATTATAAAATTGGGGCGGTTTCAAAATCTCATACCGATACACCTTCTGAGGGGTAAAAGCCTAGCAGGCCTAGCTTTGTGAACCCAACTTTAATAGATATTCTTAATGATATTCTTAATAGATATTACCGGTAGGTGTATTTAATCAACATCTAATTGTATATAATATCCATACGTAGTAATAACTATAGTATAACGATAGTACGTACGTATAGCGATAGTATAACGATAGATTAGTTTTATAAAAGTACTAAGTCATTGTTAGCGTTAGAATTAAGGGTTTAGTTAATTCATAATAATAATAATTATGAAACACATTACTATTGTGTAATTTGAAATAAATACAAAAGTATTTTATTGGGTATTTCTAAATCATTACGGAGATATGTCCAAACATATTTCATTTACGAACAATAATGAATGTTCTTAGTTCCTTCTATCATTACGGATTATGCAAACATATAAGTGGTGCAGACACCAAAAACGTCGATACATATATTAATTTTGCAAAAAGAGACCTAAATAGTTTAACAAAGAAAGGTACTCCTTATCTTAATACCAATATGCAATTTTGACCAAAAACTTTTTGGTATGATCCATTCAAATGTATTCAAATGTGCAAGCATGTTCAAGCATGTCCAAACCCCTTTAGTTAATAATAAATTTATGCAAACAATATTTTATGTATGTATATATATATTATTATTATTTAGCTTTGCATTTTGCTTAGAAATTTATTTTAATGAAATTTGAGTAATCTCAATTTATTATTTATTTATTTTTGTTAAAAGGTTCATTGTTCTGTGAATTATGCTCTTTAGCAACACCAAGAAATAACAAGAAATAGGGTCGATTTCATTCACGTGATTTCAGACATCAATTAGCAAAATTACTGTATTAGTAAAACAAACTATTTATGAAACTTTTTTGAAATGACTATCAGTGAGGACTGCAAACTAATTAAAAAACGATTAAACAAACAAATAAACTTAATAATTTATAGTATTCACCGCAGTAACTTCAAAAATTCATACGTACAAAATATGTTTATCAGACGTACAGTACGTTCGTACGTACGTACTGTACGTATGTACAGTAGGCAACAAAGTAACGCCCGATGATCAATTTTATAGTAAAATACATATAAAATCCTTTTTAGGGAATTTTGTTATTAGAAAAAAAACAAATTTGTTTTAGCCCCGGTGAAAATTACACGTCGTAAAATATAAATATCAAATTTTTAATAATATAAAATTAAAAAATATTTATTATTAAAACTTTGGATTTTTAACAATTTTAAACTTTAGAATTTTTAATTTGTTAAAATTTAATTGTAAATTTTGTGTTATTAAAACGTATTTTTTTTTTCTAATAATAATTTTTTATTTTATATTACCCTTAAAATATAATAGTAGTGCTATTAATAATTATAATTAAGTTTTTTTAAAAAAGATTTTGAAATTTTATATTTAATTTTGGATATTGTTAAATATCGCAGGTTGCTATATCGCAGGTTAATATGATCGACCAATTATATCACAGGATCTTGTGTAACAAAAATGAATGAAAAATTAGAAAAATTAAGAAAAAAAGTCAAAATTTTATATATCTCGAAATTTCATTATGAAACTAGTCTTGGGCTTCTAATGAAAAGTTTTCAACACTTAATTTTGCATATATTTATGCCTTCTAATACTAGCTCAAACCCTAACCCTAACTAATAATAATTTTAAAATGTATATTAACTTGCAATATCACAACCTGCTATATTTAACAAATTCCTTTATATTTGCTAGCATAAAATCTAGCATAATTTGGATATTTTGATAATAAAATATTATCTAATACATTTCATTTTGAATTTAAAAAGATTACTATACTTATCAAATTACTGTAGTTGTTAAAAATCTACAAAATTTTTTAAATTCCTTGTTTTTTGTAATATTGTATTTTCTGTTAAATATTAATTTTCTAGTATAATATTTATTATTCTATTAGATTTTTGAGTTAATTAACAAAACAATAAAAAATTTAAATTTTTTTAATCATACTTTTATAAATTTTGAATAAAGAATCTTACTAATTCTCTATTTATTTTTAATAATCAACCATTTTTGAATTTTACAAATCAATAAAATTTTAAAATAGTTTTAAAATATTAACCAGATTATTATTAAGATCTCTTTACTCAAAGTCTAAAAACATATAGATAATATTATATTCTAATAGAAATATTATATATTTTACATATTTAAAATTCTGATTTCTAGATTCTAGTATAATATATATTTGCTAATTATAGTAATTTAAAAAATATATATAATAATTTAAAAAAAGTAATTAGTATAAAAAATACAAAAAACTCTCTCTGATAATTACCTGTACCTAGTGTTCTGAAGTTCAGTTCAGTTCAATTTAGATTCAGGTTCAAGTTCAATTGAACCTGAACTGAACTTTAAATTT